ATCGATTTCCACTTCCAATCCACAGCGATGTTTTGTTCCCCTTGATTTTCTTCTTTTGTGCTCTCCCCATTTTTCTTTAGAGGTGACTTGGTTGGAAAGTTTACGGAAGAGAAGAACGGCTAGGGTTTGCAGGGTTAATGGGTTTTGAGAGTTTCTTTGAGTTCGATTGTCTCTTTCGTCCCTCAACTTTCAGTTTTGAACTAATTTGGTTCATAAACTTGAAAAATTACTAAAATAATCCGTAAACTTTATTTTTCCATTCCTTTTGTCGGTTCAATGCTGATGTAGATGGTTGTTAACTCTTCAAAAATTTCGTGTTTTTAATTCAAAATTTAGGTAGAAATTGCGTGGATAGATATAGTATCATTTAACCTTACATGGCAATTGGTCAAAAATTACCTAAATAATTTTTAAGATAAAAAAATAACGAATATTAATCTTGATTTTCAAAATAAATTAGAATTCCAACATAAACAATTGAAATCTAATCCAAAATTTAAAAATCTCCTTTATTAAATGTTAATATTTAAATTTAAAAATTAACTATATATTTTAATATGGACAACCTTTTTGTATAATTTTTTTACACAATTTTCATATGTTGTTAAATGAGTAGATACATTTAATATTATATATTTTAAATAAATAAAAAGCAAAACCCTTCTTAAGCCCCTCAACTTTTTTGACAACAAGTGATAAGCCCTTGAATGAAAAATGATGTGAATAAGCCCTCAACTCCTCGTGTGAAGTAAATCAACCCCTCCGTTAACTGAGCCCCTCAATACTGTTTGTTTATTTGCTTGCGTGGCAGTTAATATCCATGTGGCATTCAATGTCTCCTTAATAAAGAATAAAGAATAAAAAGGAAGAAAGAATAGTTCATGGCAAGAATTATCCTGCTTTAATGATTCCTTTATGACATAAAGAATAAAAAGGAGGAAGAACAAGTCAGTTCTTCATTTGTTGAGCATTGAAGAAGGCAACGATCTTTGTTGCCTTGTCTGACAATCGAAGAGACAAAGAAGGGACCACAGGGACCAAATTCCTCAAATCTTCAACGATTTTGAGTTACTCTCATCATTTTCAGGTTGGTAGCAACAATTACTGATGATTAAAGTGTTGTTCACATGGGTTTTGTGGTGATTTCTTTGTTCATTCTTTAGTCATAATTATAGATTTAATTATTGAACTTTGGGTTAAGTGGGTTTGATTAAACAATGGTAAACATTGTTTATTTTATTAATTAATCAATATAATCATCTATTGGTAAGCACTAAGGGTTATGGGTTAGATTAGGATTTGGGGGGGTTTTTAGTGACATTCTTTATTGTCTAATGTTAGTGTTTTTAGATTGATTTATTCTTATTGTATATCACATATCAAATAATTTGTTAAGCAATTTGATTAGAGTTATGGTTTTCTCTATTTCATAGCAATGTCGGGTGATCCACGTTTCGAGATTTGCATTAATTTTGATGGTAACTTTGATACACATATTGAACATTACACTGGTGGGGAAACATGCGAGCTTCTTATTAGGGACGTTGACAAGTTGCGTTATTGGGATGTTGACAAGTTGCGTTATTGGGATGTTGACGAATTCAGTTTGAAAGTTGAGATTAATATCTACTTTTTCTTAAATTTAAAGTAAAAAATAACAATTATTTTGAGATAAAAAAAGTATGCATATCTTATATTATGTGAGAAAAGTGTATATTAGTTATAACTATCAAAGTAAATTAGAGTTATAAACTTAAATTATTTCATTTTATCTAATTTAAACTTAATTCAAAATCTAAAAATTTATTTTATTAAATATTGATACTTAAATTTAGAAACTGATTATATATTTTATATAATCAGTTTCTAAATTTAAGTATCAATATTTAATAAAATAAAATTTTAAATTTTAAATTGAAATTTTTGTTTTCAAATATAAGTTAAAATTTTAATTTTTCTTTTAAAATTAAAACTTATATGCACTAACCTTATATTGTATAACCCATGTAATAATAAAATTTTTCATAAAATTTTTAAATAAATATTTATTATATTTAAACAAAATTGTCAATAAATACTTGATAAAATTTAAAAACTTATTTATTAATTAAAATTTTAAATTAATAAACATCAGAGTTGAGGAACAAACACAAGAGAAGAAGAGCGGGGCCCAGTGAACAGGCCAGCTACAGGGTCAACTCTTTGGTAATTTACATGAAAAGACGCTTTGATCCACAAGGTGAAGCACCTTTCAAGGGCGTAAACGGAAGCACAAAGACTGCACGTTGGGGCCAGAATTTGTGAATGGTCAAAAGCAACAGCACGGGCCTTGGAAAAAGTGCCGGAAATTGCAAGAAACTCAGTCAAAGTGGCACTGTTTAAGTTCTTTTTTTTTTTTTTTTTTTTTAACATTAGAAATTTTTAGGAGAAAGAGAATAGATTAACTGCTATTACAGCAGATAAAACTCTAATATTTGTTATGAGTTTCATACATCTTAACCAAGACGCTAAAGCTACAGGTGCGTTTAAGGGTATTTTTGAGAGTTAATAACACTGAACTTTCTATCTTCTTAGTTGATGACGATTGATGTATATAGTGCACATTCACTCTCCTAGTACTTGCCTTTGCCTTTGTTTCATACATGATTGGCTATTGCCATCCTTGAGTACTGTAAAAGTTTAACAGTCTGTTTGGTTAAGTTTGACAAGCTGTTTGGTTTAACTGGGATGCATTAGGCACATGATTTGCGTTAGACACATGATATGAAGGGAGGTTTTGCCACAATCTTTGGAATTTGGATACATGCCTGTCAGAGATTCGTCCAAAATTCAAACTAATAACACCTTTTATTTTGTTAAATTTATTAAAATTTAATTGATATTTATAATTTTTTTAAACAAATAATTATGATGTGTCGAAATTTTAATTTATATATTAATTTTTAAAAATTTATTATATAATAAATATAAATTATTTTATCTATTATTAACTCTTTTAACAATTAAATTAATATTTTTTATACAAAATTTGTTAGCCTTAATAGAATAAACAGTAACCAATAGTAACTATAGCCGCATCCACTAATAACAAGACCACCAAAAAATCCAATAAATAGCATTTCCAATTATTATGAATCGAAGTTTTTATATTAAATATCTTAAATTTAAATCCTAAAATAGATTAACAAAAAGAAGTTATTCCTGTTTAATAGTCCATCATTCCACCCAAAAGGACAAAAAAAAAAAAAAATGGAGACCACCAAGAATGTGTCTTCAAAAACTCTGGATCCCATGCATCAAGGGGGAAAGGAACATTTCTCATACAGAACCAAATAAAAGAAGATCAGAAGAGAGGACAATGATCAAATTCTGGCAAAGTCATACATGCAAGAAATAAACAATTTGATCAGAAATCAAGGAGTCAACACCGCTCTGGAATCCAGTCGTTTTCAACTTTGGAGGTTTTCTCTTTCAATGGCTTTGAAACTCCATCAATTGCTATATTCCTTATTCCAATCTCCATGGCTTCCCTATCATCCTTCTCTCTTCTTTCCTTCTCAGACATGCTCCCATCTGTGTGCTGAGGTTTAGTAGCGGCCACTAAAGGTTCACGAAGCCGTGGCACTGCACTGAACCATGGATGACTAAGGCATTGGGGTGGGCTGTAGTTGGCCTCATTTCAAGGGCAAAAGCAAGTATTGGGATGAGGAAGTCAGCCATGTCATTTGCATCTTGTTTGCTAAAATCATACTTTTCCATAAGAATCTCATTAAGAGGCCAGAAGCGCAATCTATGGATGTGCCTCAAATCCCCATTTGTTAAAGAAATCTCGAGAATAGCAACCACCTAGAGTAATCTGAAGGCTGTGTGTAGCAGACTAGCAGTGATATAAAAGGCCTGCCAAAAACTACATTTTAGTTATGTCATCGCAGAAGTAACTTCCTGTCAAAATCTTTTCTTCAGTTTCTAATCAATTCTTCCCTGTTTCTTCCCCAAATTCTCCCTTGAAACAACCATGTAGAATCACAAGAAACATCTAGGATTGTAAACATAATTCAAAATGAGTCATTACCTCGTATCAAAAGCTTCAGAAGATTGTCCAAGGCATTTCACCTGTGACCACTATCACAACCTTTTCAAGCTATGCAAAGCTTTACAAG